TCATAATCTCGATGTTGTTTTAGGGCTATCGTTTAACACTTAAACGATATCCTAATATCCGAAAAACATGATCACCAACAACACTTGAGCTAGTCGGAGAGGCATGACTAGGAATCTATTATTTAACCTTTTATCATTCCACATATGCATATGAGTTTTATGCTGAATCACGTATTCCAGGATCATATCTGTTATAGCATAGAATTTAAAGTTTTTAATTATGAATACAAAAATATAATAATACAAATATTATTGCCTATAGGGTATATTTTCAATAGTCTCCCACATGCACTAGAGTCAATAATCTAGTTTACATGGTATCTTTAACACCTATGGCTATCCGGTGTTGCTCATGGTAAAGCCTTCATCATCGGGTCTGACACATTCAAATCTGTGTGAGTCTTGAGAATCTTTACATAGCCCTTCTCAACATGTCGGAAAATGTGATACTTGCGTTCAATGTGGCTGGTCTTCATGTGTGATCTTGGTTTCTTTGCTTGAGCAACGGCTTCACTATTATCACAATAGAGAGCCATTGGATTCATCACACTTGGGATTACACCAATTTTTTCAAGAAACTTCTTGATCTAGAATGCCTACTTTGAAGCTTCTGTAGCCGCAATATAGTCGCAATAGCTATAATCCCAACTGAAAAAATAATGGATATGGTCACAGACTTCCTTATCCTAATAATAATGGTGCACCAAATAATTTTAATGGACCTAGTAGCAGCAGTAGAAATACTCTTGAAGATACTCTTAAAAGTTTTATTGCTAGTCAAACTGAACAAAATGAAAACTTCAAAAATATTTTGAAGAATCATGATAACTTACATGGTCAATTGACCAATAAAATTGTTAGACTAACAAATGAGGTGCAGATGCTTGAAGGAAGAATAATGGATATGCTCCTAGACTTTGTTACCCTAATAACAATGTTGCACGCACATTGGTTGTTACATACTATTAATCCAATACAGCTGAATTATATTTTGGACCCGTTGCAACGCACGGGTGTGATGCTAGTTTTAGTTAACTGTGTCTGATCTGAGGTTGTCAGGAGTGACTAGGGGTCAGGTGACTGAATTAAAAATTTAGGTCAGTCACTTGTTTTATTGCCGTGGCCAACATATGTAGATCGCAAGGCTGGCTAGCTCAAGCTTGCTGGATGTATTCCACCGGCGATGACACGAAGGTATATGTGAAGCTAGCTATCCGCCGGACGCATGAAACGTACACACGCTACACTCGATTGGATGCTATTATGTGAAAGACGCCAAACAATATTCTTCAACATGTATACTCTCACTTAGGTATGCTAAATTAGAAATTGTGTTTTTTAATAACATGCAAGAATAAGCAATAGCGCAATTTGGGAAGAAAAAGTTTCTTTAACAAATGAATTACTGGCATTGGTATTACCATAAAGAGAAAAAACTAAAACTAAATTAAAATAATGAAGTTTTCTAAGAAAGAATGAATTAGTGTAATTATATTACTCTTTCAGAATAAAAAATAAAAAAATAAAAAAATTGGACACAATTTACACAGAAATTGCGCATTTTTACAATATGCAGAAATAAACATATAATAATGGATTTTCTTTAGAAGGAAGTCTCCTAAGAAGCAATGAATTAGCGGCATTGGTACTACCATTAAAGAAGAAAGAAAATAAAATGATAACTAAATTAAAACAAAATAATAAAGTTTTCTAAGAAAAAGTGAATTAGTGGCATTGGTATTATCTTTTAAGTAGAAAGAGAATGGAATAAAAACTAAAACAAAATCAAAATAATGATTTTTTATACGAAAGAATTAACTGATAAAAAATAAATTTTAAAATAATGAAAAAAAAATTGCACATAATTTACACGGAAAATTGCGCTTTTTAATAATATGCAAAAATAGACAACATCATAGTTTTGCGAGAAAAAGTTTCCTAAAACAGATGAATTAGTGCATTGATAGTATCCATAAAGTAAAAAAGAAAAATATAAATAAATAAAAACCAAAATAAGTAAGTTTTTTAAGGAATAATGAATTAGTGGTATTGTTATTACACTTATAAGAAGCAAAATGAAAAACAAATAAAAATGACTAAAATTTGCACACAATTTGGACAGAAGTTGTGCCTTTTTAAAATATGCACGAATAAGTATATAATAGTATATTTTCAAAAATCATAAATCTTGTAAGAAGGAATGAATTATTGCCATTGGTACTACCATTAAAGAAGAAATAAAATAAAATCGAAATAATGAATTGGTAGCTTTAGTATTACCCTTTAAGAAGAGAGAAAATGGAATAAAAAATAAAAATAAAAATATATTTTCTGTAAGAAAGAATGAATTAATGACATTGGTATTAACAACAAATATTTTGAAAAATATGAAAACAAATAATGAAAAAAATGCTTACATACACATAACTTGTGCCTTTTGTAATATGCAAGAATAATCATATAAAAGGGGATTTTCATAAAAAAGAAGTTTCCTGAGAATGAACAAATTAGTGGCATTGGTATTACTAGTAAAGAAGAAAGAAAATAAAATAAAATCAAAACAATCAAAACAATAAAGTTTTCTAGGAAAGAATGAATTAGTGGCTTTGGCATTGCTCTTTTAGAAGAAAGAAAATGTAATAAAGACCAAAATACAATCAAAATAATGAGATTTTCTAAGGAAGAATGAATTCATGGCAGGTTACACTTTAAGAAAACAAATAAAAATCAAACAATGACAAAACTTGCACACCATGTAATTTTTTTTGTGCATTTCAAATATATGCAAGAATAATCATATAATAGTGGGATTTCTCAAAAGTCAAAGTTTCTTAAGAAGGAATTAATTAGTGGCAAATGTATTACACTTAAAGAAGTGGAAAATAAAATAAAATCTGAAAAAGTATTAAAACATTTTTTTAAAAATAATAAATTTATGGCATTGGTATTAACCTTTAAGAAGAAGAAAAAATAACCTTCAAACACGCAACCTTGCACTGAAACTGCACCATTTGAACATGTAAGAAATAAGCATATAATAGTGCATTTTTTACACTAAAGTATAATTATACACATATTTTATATTACTTTCTGTATACATTCTATATTCACTCTACATCCAAAATGTACCCATAAAACCGATAAAAAACAGCAGCAAAATGCGCAGAAACAGCCTAATAAGGAAACGCGTAATGGGCAAGCCCAATAAAGAATCGACTGACCCAAATTAGGGCCAATCGAAAACAGCTCAGCCCAATACGGTCAGCATACACAACAGGAAAAAAACAAGCAACAACATCTCGAAATCACTAACTAAGGAGTACTCATTTCAAAGAACACTCCACTTTGACAGGTCGCGACAAGTGGTGCACATGCAACGCGCCACTTGTCGCAACCTGGGAGTTTTTCTTTTTTTCGTAGATCCATTTATTCAAAACATTTTATCTTCCAAACCGTGCGTCCAAATCTTGAACCGTTTTCATCATTGGATTCCTCGCGTTGAGATCTTCAAAACTAGATCCCATGTTGATAGGTTTTGACGAACTTATTTTTCACGAAAAAACCGGAAGAAAAAAACCGGGCGAAAAAACTGAACTGGGAGCATGGTTTTTTCCCCTTTCCGAAAGAGGCATGCCCGTACCTCTCGCGAAATCACAATCATGCCTCTCGTGGAAGCAAAACCGTGACTATCGTGGAAGAAAAAAAAATGGAAAACACGTTTTTTCCGTTTCCGAGAGGCACGGCCGTGACTCTCGCGAAAGCATAACCATGCCTCTCGCTAAATCAAAATCGTGACTCTCGTGAAAGAAAAAAAACAGAAAACGCGTATTTTTTCCCCTTTCCGAGAGGCACGGCCGTGACTCTCGCGAAAGCACAACTGTGCCTCTCGCGGAAGCAAAACCGTGACTCTCACGAAAGAAAAAAAACAAAAAACGTTTTGTTTTTCCATTTCCGAGAGGCACGGCCGTGACTCTCGCGGAAGAAAAAAAAACAAAAAATGCGTTTTGTTTTTCCCTTTCCGAGAGGCACGGCCGTGACTCTCGCGAAAACACAACCGTGCCTCTCGCGGAATCAAAACCGTGACTCGGGAAAGAAAAAAAAACAGAAAATGTGTTTTTCTCGCGCATAATTTTTTTTGAAATTTTTTTGATCGAAAAGCTAAGAAAGACCGAGGGAAAACCAAAACGTCGAAAACCCCCCAAAAAAACCATTTTAAAAGCTGAAAACACGTGCGGGAAAATAAAAAAAATAAAATCCGGAGGGAGCGTCCAGAGCGCGACACGTGGCGAATGGCTGAGAGCGCGACAAGTGGCGCTGATCGTTGCGACGCTCCCGAAGGAGCGCTCGTTAATTAGTTGCTCCCGCAACATCTTGGAGCAGCAATCGATGGTCAAATAAAATTGACCGACCCAAATTTAAAAATCAGGCAACTTATAAAATGTAGGCTGTCATTTAAACACTGGACTGCCGGCAGGAAAACAAAGGAGTGATTTCGTGGAATAATTGCCCCTTCTCATCGTGCGTATGGACTTCGATCACCGGCTCTACGCAGGTCTGCGTGTCTCTCTAATTGCTTCTCGTTATCTCGCGCAAAAAACCAAGACAAGACCTAAACGCAAACTCACTTTCCTCGTCCTTGTGCAGTCGTGCTGTGCCGTCCCTGACACTTTCCGGAGTCTTCCACGACCCGTGGAGCACCGGAGTTCACTTGTGCCACCTTTCTTCTGGCACGTTTTGGCGAGCTCCGGAGGCTCTGCATGGTGCCCTGGACGTCCACGTCGTGACCCGCCTCTCGCTGCACGCACAACTTCAACACGTTCACGGCTGGCGAGTGCCCGCCGACGTGGCCACCGCCGCGGCCACCCCCTCACGGCCGGGCTACCTCGTCTTCCCCGCGTCCTACATAAACGCACGCTCGTCATCGGCAACAGCACACAGAATCAACAGCCCAACAACGAACCAAGTGTGATCTAGCCAGTCCCTGCTTCCTGCTGTGAGTAATGGCGACCATGTTGGCCTTGAGCCCCTTCACTGGTGCCGCTGTCGTCGGCCGCTCCGCCTCCTGGTCTCCGGCGGTGCCGCGCCGGCGTGCCCTCCTCGTCAGGGCCCAGACCGAGGTAAGCCTCTTTCGTTTACTCCGTACTGCACGTACAACTCAAGTTTAAGTGTGCTCTGCTGACTCACGATGCCTTGCCCCTGCAGCCGGATGCCGAGCCAACCAAGGAGACGACGACGAGCGCATCGACATCCTCCCCTAGCCCAACCCCAAGCCCGAGCACGACCCTGGTTGCGCCCAAGCCCAAGTCCAAGGCTGCTAACGCTAACCCCTCGGTCTGGGACGCGCTCGCGTTCAGCGGCCCGGCACCGGAGCGCATCAACGGACGGCTCGCTATGGTGGGCTTCGTGGCGGCGCTCTCTGTTGAGGCGGCGCGCGGCGGCGGGCTACTCGACCAGGCCGGCAGCGGCGCCGGGCTGGGATGGTTCCTGACAACCGCGGCTGTGTTTTCCGTGGCGTCTCTGGTACCGCTGCTTCAGGGACAGAGTGTGGAGAGCAAGTCCAGCGGCGTATGGACCGCCGACGCCGAGCTATGGAACGGCCGCTTCGCCATGCTCGGCCTCGTCGCACTGGCCGTCACCGAGTTCATCACCGGCACGTCCTTCGTCAACGTCTGAAACTAGCTAGTGTAGCACTCCCGTACGTGCGTGTACATATTGTTGGTCATGCTGAGGAACTAGTGGTACGGACTCTGTTAGAGTATTCTGTAACGGATTCTGTAAGCCTTATAGGTTGTGTTTTTTGATGCTGATGTCTTGGAGCTTCGAGTTACTGCGCGAATGAATTAAGTTCAAACCACTGTATACTAGAAGAACGTGCGTTGCAACGGGGCCACATTAACTTTAAGAGTTCAATATTAATCATATTAATAATATATTTAATATTGTCATACATATCTATTTTATTAGGTACGAGATGTAGAGATTAATTGTTTCCTTTGTTTGGATCAACTTCCAAGTTCCAAGTTCTAAAATTACCCACGTACATGAGAACTAAATAATTTTAGTTAACAAAAGAAGACTACTACTCATGAAAAGTTAATCTGCGTATTCTCCTTGACAAGTTAAAAAGGTCATATATATATGTTTGCATGGCTCTCTATTCTGTAAGGTTATTACATAAAACTATTGTTCAATTAGAAAAAAGTTATAATAAGCAGCAAACATTAAAAAAATAGGTGTCTGATTCCAGCTCGTGCTTCTCCAAATGAATGTGTCACTCACCTAAAGAACTACCAGATTACGACCAATGCCAAAATTTGGGTTGTCTTCTCCCAAGAAATTTGTACAAGCTCCTCGTCATTCTTCTTCTGATTGCATCATCTAAACCAGGCTAAATATTTTTACTTTACCCATGTGAAATTATGCATCAAGTAATCAGGTAAACAAGTATAGAACGACATGCAGATGTAACCTGACATTTCACCTTGTTAGGGAGTCCCTTCAATCCAAGAATATACAACATCCAGAAGAAATAAAATCAATGTCATAATTAGTAATCATTTTTCAGCGACAAAAGATAAACAACAATTGGATTTTTAAAACAAAACCCGCAACTACACAAGTATATTAGCACAAGTGTGGATCCTGTCCCACTCTTCATTTGTTCACAGAAAAGTTTAGAATAGCAATCTTGGCGAGCCCTGTGCAAGCATCCCGTGATCTCGGCCGGGATCGATCTGCATGGCATGCTGCCGATTCTTCCAAGAGTGGGCGCTGAAAGGAACGATCCTGAACCTGCATTGTCAATCGGACAGAGCGGCATCGACCTTCGGATCAGAGTGTGAACGGGATCGAGGAATTTGGAGGAAGTGAGGGAGTAGGATGGAGATCACGAGAACTCACCCATAGCTTGGGTCGTGTTAGTTCTTCGGGGGCTGCCACGGGTTGTCCTCGTCGCCATTGGCGACTCCGCCACTATAGCACCATGAGCGTGGGATTGAGGGACAAAGAGAAGGAAAGGAAGCGAATTAATGACGTACCTGATGTTTGGTATGTAATAATCGGGTTAATTACTGTTATAATTTATTGAGTTTGTTTCCATATATTACACTTTGGCGCTAGGAAGGTGGGACTCATATTGTAAAAAAAAGGAAGTTCGCACTGATGGACGAGGAGATCTCTTGCCTACGATTTCAATTACCAATTACCGAATCCGGCTACGCTGATTGCTCTCGATTTACTGAATCAGAACTTGCCAAAATATTTACATGATTGAATTGAATCGACACCTGCCAAAGCAAGCACGAATAAATGAAAGGAGAATCAGACGTGATTCGGTTTTAAGTGGGAAGAAGAAAAAATTAAGGTGGGAGGGGTGGTGAGAGATGAGACGAAAATAAACCAAATGAAAAAAACCGACGAAACTGGGAGCCTCGGTACGAGGTTAGTCCCTGGAGTGCGTGAGGGCGGGTGGGGGCCTCGGTACGAGGTTTTTTTGATTCGTGACGGCTCAGTGTAAGGTGGGAGCAGGTACCAAAAAAAACCATGGAAGGTGGGACGAAAAAAAACCTGGAAGCGAGACTACCAACTGCTCCATTAGGAGTAGAGATGTTTCTTAGTAGTAGTATATATGCTTGGTCGGAGAGATGTAGACTAAGAATATGAACATCTTGATATTAGAGATTAGAGATGTAGACTAAGAATTCTTCTTAATTAATTGATGAGGCAAATATTTTGCGTCCGTTTCGAAAAAAAGAAGAATATGAACATCTTGGTATTATTTTACCAGTAATATGCATGTTCCGAAGCTTCAAAGCAAACTAAAAGGCTCAAAAAATGGTTTAAATCACAATTTAAAATTTTGGGTACATGTTTGAAATTCGTCAAGGTCTTTTTGGAAAGGGCAACGATAGGCACCGGCCGACCGGCCCAATTTTTGGCCGGTCACCTGGCAGCCCTTGAAATTTGTTAGCAGCCGCACGATAGCTCTCGACTGAGTCAACGCAGTCACCTAGCAACCTTGATTCAGTTTGTTAGCCGCACGATAGCTCTCGACTGAGTTAACGCAAGAAGGCTTTTTTCGCCTATCCCTGCAGAAACCAACTCAAGAAAAAAAGGCAGCTCTCCGCAACCGTCCACCGCGCTGACGGTGCCTCCTCCTCCCCCACCTATCGCTGTCCAGTAAACCAAAACATGAATCCGCAAAAACATTGGCACTGGTCAAACGAAAAGCACAAAAATTGCATGGTTCCAACAAAACTAATGTACGATTCCAGCACCAAAAAGAACATCTGTTCCAGCAAACACAATGCTCGTTGTCTTCGGGTCGTAGCAAAATTTATGACCGGTCCCAGCAAAAAAACCACTGCTGCAACAAAAAATGCTGTCATGGTTGCCGGTTCCAGCAATCCAACTTGCCGGTTCCAGTAATCCAACACGCCCGTTCCAGCAAATAGTGTTGTAGCAGCTTTCCAGCGGCGACGACATCTGGTCCTAGCAATTCGCGCAACTGGCCCCAGCAACTTGTGGCGCCGGCTGTAGCATGGCCGCTTGCCGGTTGTAGCACGCACTCTCTTCGGCTAAGGAACAAGGGCATGCCATGATCACGAGGGCGATGACATCCTAGCTCCCGACGCCAGCTGTCGGTGTCAAAACCGGCAGATCTCGGGTAGGGAGGCCCAAGCTATATGTCTGAGGATCGATGGTAACTATGATCAAAAGGACACAGTGTTTACCCAGGTTCGGGCCCTATTAATGGAGGTAAAATCCTACTCCTGCTTGATTATATTCGATGAGTATAGGGGTTACAAGAGTTGATCTACCTCGAGATCGTAATGGCTAAACCCTAGCTTAGCTAGCCTATCAATGTATGGTCCTGCCTTCGATCTAACCCTCCGGTTTATATAGATACCGGAGTGCTTAGGGTTGTACAAAGCCGGTTTAACAGAAAGGAAATAGTATATCCGGACACCTAAACTTGCCATCCACGTATACGGGAGTCCCTACCAGACACGAGATGTGGTCTTCTGCCTTGTATCTTGACGACCCATCAGTCTGGCCCATTAGTCCGGCCCATATCCAATAGACCGGATGCCCGAGAACCCCTTAGTTTAGGACTCCCTCAGTAGCCCCTGAACCAGTCTTCAATGATGACGTCTTTGGCGCGTAGATTATCTTCGGCATTGCAAGGCGGGTTCCCTGAACAATACATGTCAGCTTTCCTCCGTAAAAGAACTGTATTCAGCCTTGCATAATTAACACAACCCTTAGCCGCAAAGGGAGGATATATAAAAAAAATAAGAATAGTGTCTTTTACTGACAACTTTTTCGGCGAAGCGTTAGACTTGACCCTTCGGCGTTTAACCGTTTTCACACCTCGCATTCCGTGTTTCGAGGCCAAGCCCCATTGGCCCGTCCTGTCAAAACAAAGATCGTGCCCACTTAATACGGGATTGCTCATCAATAAAATTTGGGTAATCCAACCGTTTACGGCGCACACTTTCATTAGGAATAGGCGAGTTTCAAGGCACAAGTGGGGGACGGTTGGCATTTTTACCGCCTATAAGAGAGCAATGGATTTCTCCTTTCTTCCCCACGCCTTCCAATCTCCTCAGCCTTCCAATCTCCCAAGCTCTCAGCGCCCGAAAAGTTTTCGTCTTCCTCACCACCACCACCTTATCCGACCATGGCTGGATCCATTTCCAAGGGCAAGTGGGAGGCCTCCTCCGTTACGGAGAAGGAGATAAAGGATCTTCAGAGTGTGGGATACCTCGTCGCAACCATTGCGCACAGGCTCCCTCCCAAGGGTCAGATCATTCCCACTCCAAAGCGCGGCGAAAGGGTCGTCTTCCTCCCCCATTTCCTTAGAGGGTTAGGTTTTCCACTCCACCCCTTAGTCCGCGGACTCATGTTCTACTACGGGCTGGATTTCCATGATCTAGCCCGAACTCTTTCCTCCACATCTCGGTGTTTATCGTCGTGTGTGAGGCTCTTCTCCGCATCCCCCACACTTCGGCCTGTGGCTGAAAGTCTTCAATGTGAAGTCGAGGTGGTCGACGGGAAACACACGGACTACGGCGGGGCCATGAGAAGCAAGCTGCCCAACGCCATGTGGCCCAAGGGGGCCTTCATCGAGACCGTCAAGATCTGGCAACAAGAGTGGTTTTATATCACCGAGCCGCGCCGCACCAAGTGGGCGGCGATTCCAGAGTTCAGATCCGGAGCCCCCATGAGGCTCATCTCCTGGACTGCAAAGGGCCTCGACTGGGGTCCCAGATGGAGGTGCAAATGCTGCAGACGTGTATCACCAACGTGCTGAGCAAAAACGTTGGTCTAACCAAAGTAGTGCAAATTATGCTCTTCCGCCGCATCCTCCCCTGCCAGCGCCGGACTTCCCCCATGTGGGAGTTCAATCCGGAGGATCCGCGGACTCTGCAGCATTTCCTCGGCATCACACACGAGGGAATGTGGAAGCTACTCTTCAAGGCGCAGAAGAGCTGGCCCATGGAGACCGAAGTCATCGGCCTCGATGCCGAGAATCCGGCCACCCCGGTAAGTGTTAATTTTCGAAGACATCTCCAGCCCATATATGTATTCGATCAATACGAATCTTATCAGCCTACCTTTTTACAGGGCTGGACAAAGAAGGTGGAGCGGATCAAGAATCCGGCTCCGTT